GCCGATGATGAACAGCCTGCCTTGGAGTCTCCAGATCATCACCCAGAGTGGAAAAGTCCTCACTCAACTGCCCTCTGCTTTGACTCATACTGTGTGATGCGAAATGGTGGCTGCCACCAGATGGTCTTGCCACAAAGCGCAAGAATATGAGCCCCTTGAAGAAGATGAGACTGGCTCTTCTTCTTCGAGTTTTGGGCTAGTCCTTTGGCAGATTTTTTTAAGGCATTAAGTTTTTCTTGTTCAATCTCATCAGGGTCCATGGCTGATGATGAACAGCCTGCCTTGGATTCAATCTCCAGATCATCATCCAGAGTGGAAAAGTCCTCACTCGACTGCCCACCGCTTCGACTCATACTGTGTGATGCGAAATGGTGGCTGCCACCAGATGGTCTTGCCACAAAGGCTTTCCTAGTAAAACCTCTAGTCAAGTGTGTCTTCCCCCTGTGGAGTCACGGGCTTCACAGGCTTCAATTTCAATTATCTCCAGCATAATTTTGTCTGAATGGGAGGTCTTTTTGAGTCCCTAGCCGGCAGATGTACTGATCCGGGACAGCAGCCCAGACAATGTCAATACAAGCATCCTCACTCAGATTTGGTGCCAGGTGTAGCAAAGAGCCGCACCTCAACATGCAGATCCCGCATGGTTTCTTACCATTACGAGTCATGCAGCCTCTACTCTGCCTGCCTTACTTTTGAAGCGGCTTGCCTGTCTTCATATTGTTTGGTTAGTAAGTTTTGTATTCTACAGGTGTGACCTGCAGCCACTTGTCAAAGTCAATTTGAGAATAGCCTGTCACTAGCCAGCAAATGTAGCAAAGAGCTGCACCTCAACATGCAGATCCCACATGGTTTCTTACCATTACGAGTCATGCAGCCGGTACTCTGCCTGCATTACCTTTGAAGTGGCTTGCCTATCTTCATATTGTCTGGTTAGTAAGTTTTGTATTCTAGACACAGGTGTGACCTGCAGCCACTTGTCAAAGTCAATTTGAGAATAGCCTGTTGCTAGCCGGCAAACGTAGTGATCGGGAACAGCAGCCCAGACAGTGTCCGTACAAACATCTTCGCTCAGATTTGTGCCAGGTGTAGCAAAGAGCCGCACCTCAACATGCAGATCCCGTATGGTTTCTTACCAATACGACTCCTGCACCCTGTACTCTACCTGCCTTACCTTTGAAGCGGCTTGCCTATCTTCATATTGTTTGGTTAGTAAGTTCTCTTCTAGAGACAGGTGTGACCTGCAGCCACTTGTTAAAGTCAATTTGAGAATAGCCTATCTTTGCACCCTTGGCCTCCAAGTAACTAGAGACGGGCTCTACGTTTGTGGCATACTCTGTTCCACACAGCCCCAGCAGGGCCCAACCAGGTAGGCTAGGGGTCCGTAGAGTGCAGGGTCTGTGTCGTTTCGACCCACAGTAGGGGCCCGTAGGGTCGGTATGCCAGTTTAGGCCTGAGTAGGACCAGTACCAGTTAGAGGCCTTGTTTCGGCTACAGGCCATGGCGCGCGTTTTGGCGCCACACCGTGATTTAGAGGGCGCGCCGTTTCAGTAGGCGCTGGAGGCTCAGCCTCAGTTTGGGTGTCAGACTTTCGAGGCCCATCCTCAGTTTGAGCGCCAGACTCAGCCGCTGAGACCGACCCAGCGCTATATATAGCTGGGTCCAGCCTCAGTTCGGCATTGGGTAGAGGATGGAGTAGAGGTTCTCTCCGGATGACAGCAGTGTAGCAGTAGACTTCCAGCGCTGGGCACTGATAGGACTTAAGGTAGCACAGGGGAGGAGAGGCCAGGGGACTTACCTGAGACTTACCTGCGACTCCATCGCTCCAGCTTAGTCTTCAGCACGTCTGTACCTGCATCAAGGTGCTACCTTTCGCAGGTCAGTACCTGGTACCGAGAGAGAGAGAGAGAGAGAGATCTTCTTCGTCCTCCAGCACTCTGACTTCTTCTTATCAGGCTATGAGTGTGTGTGTGTGTGTGTGTGTGAGAGAGGAGAGAGAGAGAGAGAGAGGAGAGAGAGAGAGAGAGAGAGAGAGAGAGAGAGAGAGAGAGAGAGAGAGATTGACGGCATTGGGATTCAGAGTCGACATTGGACAGAGACGTGTGGGGGACTACATTCGGGTTAACGACATTCTCATCTCTCACCCCGCTCTTCTTCATCTCTTCCCCCTCCTCCTCATCTGTGTATGAGCTGTGTTTGGCGCCTTCGTCCTTGTGTATGGCGCCAGGCCATTCACACCGAGTAATGATGACGATGTATGTCCATTCTGCATTTTGACATTGATTGGATCTGATCGTTGGTATTCCAGTCTTCCACTGTGCTATGCAATAACCCATGCCATATGTCTCGTGGAAATCTGAGGGCCTACTTGGCTGCCCTCAGCCCAGGACGAAACAGGGGAAAAAGACCCCACACGAATTCAGGGCCTGGGCGTGTGACAGTTGACTTGGTCCACCCAACAGTCAAAATCAAAGTGTACCCAGCCCAGGCGGCCGGTCGAACACACACATTTGTTTGTATGCAGGTACCCAGACAGCATCAGGTCCAAGGGGAAAGTCTGCAACTGTACAATCCAGGCCCTCGGCTGTAAGGCAATCTAGACTAGACGACTGTGGGAAAGGCAACCGAGGCCAGACAGCCTTGACAAATGTTACTTAAGGCTGGCGTCGAGTTGGTCAAGCATTCAGTCTTGCTATGCTGCTTTGACGCTGGCTCGACTTTGACTAGACGCTGGCATTATGCTGTCTCGACGCTGGCTAGACGCTGGCTGTGCACTGGCGATGCGGACAACAGCACAACCGTACGACTGATTATGCGTACAACGGGCCGACACTGCCGTAGCGAGCCTCAGGAGGCTGTGGGGGCTCGGACAAGCATTTTGTCTGTTCTAAGTCCAGGCCTTGGGCATTTTGTCTGTTATCAGCCTAGTGACACGTTCCTGACCGAGTTCGTTTTTTAGGCTGGGCCTGGATCCGATTTCTGGGGCAGGCTGTTTCTTTCTTCCAGGCTTTGCTGGTGATGCAGCATGGAGTCCTAGTCCACACGTCTTGGGCCTGGGGCTGAGTTCATATGGCTGCACGGCGTCCCATCATACGGCCCAGATGGAGGCCGACTTGAGTGTGAATGCTGAGCACTATTTAGGAGAGGCCGACCCAGTAGTTGGTAGGTAGGTTCTCATTTCATTCATGTGCCACCGGGCTGCCCTTTGGAGGAGTCGAGCACTGGTGGAGGTAGAGGAGCAGCGTTAGAGGAGCCAGTGGTAGAGCTGTAGGTGGGGGAGTCTATTCACCTGTGCCATATCCATGGAGGTTTGCCACCAGCCATAGCTGGTCTTCTTCTTCTTCTTTGGATTCCTGCAGTGTACCAGCGACTAGTAGTGTAGTTGAGAGAGGGTGTGAGAGGTGAGGTAGAATTCACTTACCTGGCGCCATATCCATGGAGGTTCACCACCAGTCATACATGGTCTTTATCGTCTTCAGTATTCCAGCAGTGCCTCAGCGGCTCAAGGCTCTGCCTTTCACCGGTCAGTATCATCATCATCATCAGCAGCAGAGAGAGAGAGAGAGAGAGGAGGCTGTACATTGAGGTCACTGGAGCTCAGCTCCCAGATTCGAGATCTGAGGTTCATTATGGGTGGATTATTGGAGGTTGAGCCCGAGTGAGAGGTGGAGGAGAGTATGATTTTTTGGTGATGCCATACATCTTCTTCTTCTTCTTCTTCCACTTCTTCTTCCACTTCTTCTTCCACTTCTTCGTCCCATTTTTCTTCCACTTCTTCGTCCCATTCTTCTCCACCTTTGTCTATCCATGATTTCAGCTGGAAGGTTCATCGTTGGACTTTCATATCTGATTTCAGTCTTCCGCTGTGTCACATTATATCTCTTCCTCGTGTTGGTGATCCTTTGGACTTGCATTGCCGGTGGCTCACTCCGGGCATGCATCACACAGTCAAAACAGACGAGTTCTGATCTATAGTACAAGTCTTTGTCAGGCCGGGATTGTCATGCCTGGTGAGGAGGATCACATTCATTACCTGATTCTTAACTGCTGGTGATTAGGATTGAGGAAGGGAGACAGCACCCTGCTTCAAAAGGCCAACATTGTCATATTTAGTGTTGATCTTGATTGTGCTGGCCAACAACTGTGTGAAATTGACTTGGGAGCGTGGCATTGAGTCCGGCGAGGTGGTACTTTGGAAAGAGGAATGTCACCACTGTTAGTTGAGAGAATGATGACACTGGGAGGTGGTTTGAGGAGTAGAGCCTGGACAAAGAAGCGGGAGGGAATGCTTGAACGTTGTATCTTTTGATTGGATTCTTGAGTTATTCTCTTCTTTTCACTCTTCTTCATCTCTTTGTCTGGCCTTGTGACTCTATTTGGCAAGTTCTCATTCATTGAGCTTTTTGAATACATGCATGGTGATGTGATGTAAGCTTCAAGGGTCGAGTTCATTACATGTCAGTTGTGGTGACATGTTTCTCCTTACAACATTGTCATATTTAGTGTTGATCTTGATTGTGCTGGCCAACACCTGTGTGAAATTGACTTGGGAGCGTGGCATTGAGTCTGGCGAGGTGGTACTTTGGAGAGAGGAATGTCACCAGTGTTAGTTGAGAGTATGATGACACTGGGAGGTGTTTTTTGAGGAGTAGAGCATGGACAAAGAAGCGGGAAGGAATGTTTGAACGTTGTATCTTTTGATTGGATTCTTGAGTTATTCTCTTCTTTTCACTCTTCTTCATCTCTTTGTCTGGCCGTGTGACTCTATTGAGCTCTTTGAATACATGCATGGTGATGTGATGTAAGCTTCAAGGGTCGAGTTCATTACATGTCAGTTGTGGTGACGTGTTTCTCCTTACAACGCAGCTTGGGAAGCACTAGAGCCCTTTGTTTAATTTGTTATTACAGAATCTTTTCCCATTTGATTTGTTGAAAAAGGAAGGGAACTGGACTGTTGCTGAGAATTCTTAGGGTTACTCTTGCAATGTTTCTTTGCCCAACAGGAAGCTCAAGCATATGCAGACCAGAATGGGATGTTCTTTATCGAAACCTCTGCAAAGACAGCTGACAACATTAATGAGCTCTTTGAGGTGTGTGTTGAGCTTTTTCTACATTTTCCCACCTCGTGCAATCCCTCCCTTTAAAAGACCACTACCTCCAAGCCTCTTTTGCCGAGACGGGAAAGAACTGCGAAGCTTTGCCAAAGCGCCGGTGCAACTTGTTCTATTTTTCGGCTGGTACCAGCATTTTAGTCCGGTAGAACTGTTCACCCGAAGACTGCGGTTTGTGGCAGATTGGTGTTTTGAGTTTGCCTGTGAAAGGTAGTCGTGGTTTAAGGGTTGCTCAATTGAATTGGGTTGTCCAAGGATTGCCCCAAGCGCACCCTTCTGGCTGTTATCATCTTACGAAGCACAAGAGTAGACAGATGGGAGCCCAAAAGAGAGAATGCAGAGAGGCTGTATTTCCCTTTCTAGACAAATTCTTAAACCTCCCTTGTCATCTCCATCTACCAGAATACTGAAGGATATTGAAAGTCTTTTAAACCACCAGATCACACAAGCACAAGTTGAAGAACTACCTTCCAAGCCTGCGCCTTTTCAAAGTGGCCTGCTGCTTTCACTACCGGCCCAGGCCTGAATCAAAATGCTCTTACCGCATAAACCGGTACAAGCACTACTCTGCTTGGGGTGAACTGGAAGTATAACATCAACGGACATCAACTTTTTTTATCACGTGGGATGGGTGTACAGTGTGCACCTTTGTGATGGGCCTTGCATGATAAACTAGTGCAGGGGCCATCCATGGTGGACATGTGCCTGAAAAAACGATTTGGAAAACTCAGGTAAAAAGTATGTGACATTGTGATGCGAAAAGTTGAATACATTGTTTTGCACAACTTTTGACTGGGATGCTACACCGACATCACATTCTTCGCTATGCCTAGTTTTTACTGGCTGTGGTGTAACTGTGTGTCGTGTAGTGTCAATGGTGCTTATGGGTGTGTTGACATCCAAAGCATAATGCTAGAGCCACCATGCTACCAGCTCAGGTTGTACAGGTGGCAGTGTATGGGAAGGGCGCGTTTGGTGGCTGTGATGGTTTTCTGATTTGTGGGGGCTGTGAGAGCAGAAACAAATTCCGAGGGGGGAAACCATTTTTTTTTTACTCTTGGAAAATCAACCCGAGCAGATGTAAGGGGTGCTGATAACACCTCTAGCACTGACCGGGAGGCTAGGAGAAAAAGAGAATTCTCTGAGGGGCGCGCACTTCATGGAAAATTGTAAGGACTGTTATAATGGAAATTCTGTGGAAGGGTGTGTGCGCTACAGAAAGGAAAACTGTTTGCTTCACGGAACATAGTCTCCTAATGAAAACTTTGACGGAAGAGGAGAAAGGCATATTGTGTGTGGGTGTCTGCTCAAAGAATATACACCAATATGCGTGCAATGCACATGCTACTATGTTAGGGTTCTCGAACTGCTGAATGTTGGGTTGGAACTCTTGCACAGAACTTGGTATGACGAAACTGATCAGTTAACCATTGAGGTAGTTTGGGTCCTTGTATGGAAAGAAGGGGTACGTGTCTGGACTTTCTCCTTTACTCTCCTAAAATGAGAACTGAACCTGCCTCGAACTCCTCTCAAGTTCATCCAGGAAGCCCTTAGTGGAATTCAACTGAAGTGGGTTGTGACTAAGCTTGAATACATCGTTGAAAGCCTGAGTGTGATTCTAAAAGGGCCTTTACAAATCAGACCCCAAATGGATGCCCCAACAGCAAGGGGCCCTGTCGGCCAGAACTTAAATTCACGAGCAGCAACTCAAAAGACAAAGTTCCTAATCCCACGAGTCAGTCCTGATTCAGACCAGGATTCCAAAAGACAGGCCTGATGGCCCAAAGCAGCAGCAGACCATGGGAAAAGATACTGGGACACACACTTTGCAACAACGGGTACTGGGCAGGAGTCCCAGACACTTGAGGCTGAATGCAGGCCACGCCAGGCCAGTCCAAAAGCGAGGGAGAGAGAGTGGTGGCCATAGCCAATAGGAGGCGCTGATGCACTATAGATGCGAGCAAGAGAACAGGGATAAGAGGTCTAGTCCAAGGCTTGGGGAAAAAGGAAGCTCACCTGGAGAGTGCTTACCCAGAGTGTTCAGGCATAGCTGCTACAGAGGAGCACAATGGTTGTGTGTGTCGTACAGAGGTGCCATACAGTGGTTCATTCTTCGTCCACGACTCCGAGGAGGTAGAGCCGACTAGTATAGGTCTGGTGCCATGCAGAGGAGGGTCTGTGGTGGAGATGGGAAAGAGGAAGTAGCCATGGCAGAAGGGTTGGCAAGACTGTGAAGCTTATGTCTTGGCTGGCGGCCATAGCTACCCGAAGAAGAAGACTCCAAAAGTAGGATGGAGAATGACATTCATTTTCCAAAATGTCATTCTCTTGGTGTTTGTGCTATAGAGAGAGATTGCGGCACTGGTGTTGCTGAAGCTGGGGGATGGGAGGGAAGGACACCATAGCTTCGGGGGCAAATGACTTCATAATTGAAGGAGGAGAATTTATGCTGCTCCAGAAGATAGACATTGTCCTCTTGCACCCCAGCATGACTGTGCTAGACTAGGATAGGCTAGGGCTGTGGAGAGATTGACTTGGTGAGTGACGTTGTGTCTAGAATGGCATTTAAGGAGTGGAAAGATACAAGTCAGTAGATATGCTGCAGTGGTGAGAAGCCGTCACGTGGAAGAAGAGGGTTTGAACATCGTAGTCATTATTCTCTATGTTTTAAAGATATTTCCATGATTATGCTCTTCTTCTTTATCTGGCCTTGTCTTTCATTGCTGTCTCAATTTTTTTGTTATCGAGTTAGAGCCTTGGGAGTTCATGTGAAATTTGGTTGCGAGCTTTCTGAAGGTGGGTTCATTACCATTTTATGTGCAACGATGAAATAAAATGAGAGGTGTAATGACCCGCCATAACACAGACTGAGAACACTGCTGATTTCTGAAGTTCTGCCGATGGAATGGATGCCTTGCTGAGATTCCCGCATTCTGCTGTGTTTTCGAAGTCTGTATGTGTGTATGCCTGTTGACTTGTGTGCCTGTCTGAGTGCTTGTCGGCATGAGTGTGTGTTTGACCCGCAAGGGTACTTGCTTGTTTGGCAGGCCCGTAGGGCCGGTACTTACCTGTGGCCGTGGCATTGAGGGTTGCAGCAGGGAAAACACTCAAGTAGCGGAGCCAGGGCCCCCCGGTGCTTAGAGCAGCGGAAAAACACTCAAGTAGCAGGTAGGCCAGTACCACACCCAGTAGCAGTAGATGTGCCAGGTACTCGAGGTCGAGCAGAAGAAGACAAAGTTGGCATTTTTAGAGGCCCAGTAGCGGTAGGCTAGGTCTAGGCCGGTACCAGTCCGTCCAGTCTGAGTCTAGAGCCTGTACGGGCAATATCAGAGTCTGCAATGATGTTTCCCTCCGAAAGGGAGGAGGTACCGGTTGCTTGGGAGGCCGAGCGGCCTGGAAGTCACTGCCCAGGAGGCAAGCAGGCCGCTATATCAAGAGGCCGAGCCAAGAGCTCGGCCTCATTCTTCAGTGTGCAAGTTTGGCGACACGCTGCTGGAGCGCTGGGTGGAGTGGCGCTGGGTGGAGTGGCGCTGGGTACTACAGCGCTGCTGGGAGGAAGAAGCCGGGAGCTTCCACCTTGGCTATGGTGGAGCTCTACCGGTAGGAGGAGGGAGAAGGGGACCAAGGAGGAGAGTGGGGGGTACTTACCTGGCTATGGTAGACACCATCTTCATCACCTTGTTAGGCGCTGCATCTGGAAGGCCCCAGTGGGGGTAGTGCCGCATCAAGGAAGCTCGGGACAGAGTCAGGCATGGCGGTTGAGTGGGCAGCGGCATAGCTGCATGGAGTTGACCTGGGGACAGAAGSGCAGCGACATAGCTGCTTTGGGTTGTCCTTTGGACAGGAGGGAGAGCCCTCAGTACTCCGCCATAGCCTTGGCCTGTATGTAGAGGAAGAGGAAGGGTGTTGCATACTGTAACGTGCAGACCAGAACAAGAACCGACCTCTCAATGCAAAGTACAAGATAACACAGCGGAAGACTTAGATACTAATGATCCGAACAATCAATATTGCAATGCAGCCCTGAACACACATCATCATCATCATCGTTATCTGTTGTGAAGGGGGTCTGGCGCTTCACACAAGAAAACTGCACCAGCCCCAACCATACACAGACGAAGAAGGAGGGGTTAGACGAAGAGGAGGGGAAGATGGGAATGTCGTCAACACCAAGTCTCGGCACAGGCCCAAATAGTCCCTCGTCGAAATGTTTGAATCCCAAATGTCCAGTCTGGATCCAATGTCGTCAAGTCTCAAGTCACAACTCTTTCTCTCTCTGTCGTAGTCTGAGAAGTCAGGTGGCGAGAGGGTGAGAAGAGATGGTGGACTTCGACGAGGAAGAAGAAGAACTCTCTCTCTCTCTGTGTCCAGTACTAACCTGTGAAGTTGGCGCCTTGATGCTGGTACCTCGAAGATGGAGCTGGAGCTATGGCGCCACAGGTAAGTACCGCTGGCCTCCGCCAGCCATCTCTCCCAACTCTGCGATCTACCACCTAATAGCGCCCAGCGCTGAAGACTACAGCTATGGCTATGGGCGCCCAGCGCCGAAGACTACTACTAGCGCTAATACTACTGCCTAGCGCTGAAGACTACTGCAGCGCTCCTCCTGAGTGCTGCGGGCGAATCCTGAAGACTACTCGTGCCTACTGACAACTACCTACCCGTGAAGTGCATGGGAACTTCCTATGTACTACCGGGTGTACCTCCTGACTCGTGTGAGCAGTCCAGGAGGCTGCTCTTGCCAATGCCGAAGGGAGGCAGGGGCTGCAGCTGCAGCTCCTGCTCAAGCTTGTGAGGAACAGGCTATTTCTGGCCTGTTCCGAAACCTTGTATTCGTGCCTGAGTCTTAGGGGTGGTCGAAACAATGAGGGCCTGAAAAAGGCCCTCCGTTTCAGGCTGGAAAAACTCTGGGCCTGAAAAAATAGGCTGAAACGGAGTAGGGCCTGCAGGCCCTCGTATTTCAGCTTTCAGGCTGAACG